AAAAAAAAACTAAACACCCTTTAATTACACAACATCAAGCCCGATCCCCTTTCCACTTTGTGGGAGGGGGGAAGAGGGGAGAGAAAGATACGCAAGACTGAGATATGGTTTACTTAACAATTTTAATAGGGTAGAGACTATAGTGGAATATAACCAATTTTTACTTAAAAATTTCGTGGAAACGGAAATAACTGACTCTTATTATACACAAGATACTTCTTTTGATAATTGGTTATTAGGTTTTATTAATGGGGAAGGTTCTTTTTATATTCATAGTAGAGGACATTTAGTATTTAATATTGAACATACTGATAAAAACGCTCTCGAATTGATTAAAAAAAGATTAGATTTAACACCTAATGTCTTAGATAAAGGTAATAGAAATAATACTAGAAAAAATATATTTTCTTTAACTATATCTAGTAAAAAAGACATCTCTTCAATTAGAGAATTGTGTGAAAACCCTTGTTTAAATAAATTGGAGGGTCAAAAATTACTACAATACAACAATTGGAAAGTTAACTCTAAAAAAATAAATTGATCTTTGGCTTTTATATTAATAAGAATCTCTATAGTTATTCTAAAGGGTAAACCCCCTAATAGTAAGCGTTTACAACCCCATAATAATATATACTTTAAAATTTGCTTGAGCTGTATGCGGTGAAAGTCGCACGTACAGTTCTTAGGGGGAAATATAGTAGTGATATTAAAAACCCCCAGTTAGATACCCCGGTACCCCTCTCTGTCAACGATGAATGGTAGTTTCTAGTTATAGTAACTAGAGGCGATGTTAACACGATAACCATTCCGCCTTGTGAGTACGATTGCAAAATTGAAAACAAAAAAATTAGTCGGTCTCGGAGCAAACGGAGTGAAGCATGTTATTTAATACGATAACCCGCGTAAAACCTTACCAGTTCTTGCATACAAACTTCTATTTCCTTAACTGGATTAGAGGGAGTGTATTTTGTTTTGTATTAAACAGATTACACTTAGTTACAGGTGTTGCATGGCTGTCGTCAGTCCGTATCGTGAGAAGTTTGGTTAATTCCTCTAACGGACGAAATCCCTGTTGTTAATTAATTCTTAACAATTTATGGTACTGATAGAGTTCCATTTGGGGCAAAGACAAGTCGTTATGGCCCTCATGTACTGGGCTATAGACGTGCCACAAAAACTTTTACAAAGTGATGCAATACCTATTAAAATAGGTGGAGCTAATCATTAAAGAAAGTTATATTATAAACTTATAGCCGGATTGTCATCTGCAATTCGGTGGCATGAAGAAGGAATTTCGAGTAATCGTTGATCACTAGCGCAACGGTGAAGCTTGAATCCGTGATGAACTAACTGTCCGTCGCTGGGAAGAAGCTTAAACTGGGGGAAACTGGAGGTAGATGGGCTTTTTCATAGATATAGTTTTAAGCTATTATAGTCAATTAAAAAAAAA